TTCGTGTTTAATATGTGTGATAATAATAAGCTAACAGGCTAACTCTTGTGCTAACGCTCCTCAAAGCACGTTTTAAATCCTCGTTTCCACCCCCGAGCCTCTCTCTTAACACATGTTTACCTGCAGTAAGTCTTTTCCACCTGTCCTCACAGAAAAACACCGTCAAAAGATCCTAAATCTGAGTTAAATCTCCATGTTTTCATCCAGCGTGCAGCTTCGCCTCTGTTTCTCCCTGTTGTTTACATCCGGCTCAGCCAATCACAGCACAGCAAGCGCTTAGACACAACTAGCGCGAGATTTCAAGTGTGTGTGTGTGTGTGTGTGTGTGTGTGTGTGTGTGTGTGTGTGTGTGTGTGTGTCACTAAGGTGTTTAATGAATCTATTATTGGTTTAGAGCGAGTGAATACCTGCTGAGGAAGTGAGATAGAGAGAAGTCTACATCTCCCATCAGCCACTGCAGCACGTCATCATCCAGCCAGGTGTGTGTGTGTGTTTCTTAGAACAATATTCATTATAATTAAGAGAGAGGAGGGGGCTTTTATTGTGACGGGATGCTGCAGAGAGAGAGAGGAGGGGGCTTTTATTGTGAAGGGATGCTGCAGAGAGAGAGAGAAGGGGGCTTTTATTGTGACGGGATGCTGCAGAGAGAGAGAGAGGAGGGGGCTTTTATTGTGAAGGGATGCTGCAGAGAGAGAGGAGGGGGCTTTTATTGTGAAAGGATGCTGCCGATAGAGAGAGGGGGGGGGCTTTTATTGTGAAAGGATGCTGCAGATAGAGAGAGGGGGGGGGCTTTTATTGTGAAGGGATGCTGCAGATAGAGAGAGGAGGGGGCTTTTATTGTGAAGGGATGCTACAGATAGAGAGAGAAGGGGGCTTTTATTGTGAAGGGATGCTGCAGAGAGAGAGGAGGGGGCTTTTATTGTGAAAGGATGCTGCAGAGAGAGAGGAGGGGGCTTTTATTGTGAAAGGATGCTGCTGATAGAGAGAGGGGGGAGCTTTTATTGTGAAAGGATGCTGCAGATAGAGAGAGGGGGGGGCTTTTATTGTGAAGGGATGCTGCAGAGAGAGAGGAGGGGGCTTTTATTGTGAAAGGATGCTGCAGAGAGAGAGGAGGGGGCTTTTATTGTGAAAGGATGCTGCAGAGAGAGAGGAGGGGGCTTTTATTGTGAAAGGATGCTGCCGATAGAGAGAGGGGGGGGGCTTTTATTGTGAAAGGATGCTGCAGATAGAGAGAGGGGGAGGGGCTTTTATTGTGAAGGGATGCTGCAGAGAGAGAGAGGAGGGGGCTTTTATTGTGAAGGGATGCTACAGATAGAGAGAGAAGGGGGCTTTTATTGTGAAGGGATGCTGCAGAGAGAGAGGAGGGGGCTTTTATTGTGAAAGGATGCTGCAGATAGAGAGAGGGGGGGGCTTTTATTGTGAAGGGATGCTGCAGAGAGAGAGAGAGAGAGGAGGGGGCTTTTATTGTGAAGGGATGCTACAGATAGAGAGAGAAGGGGGCTTTTATTGTGAAGGGATGCTGCAGAGAGAGAGGAGGGGGCTTTTATTGTGAAAGGATGCTGCCGATAGAGAGAGGAGGGGGCTTTTATTGTGAAGGGATGCTGCAGAGAGAGAGAGGAGGGGGCTTTTATTGTGAAGGGATGCTACAGAGAGAGAGAGGAGGGGGCTTTTATTGTGAAAGGATGCTGCAGAGAGAGAGGAGGGGGCTTTTATTGTGAAGGGATGCTGCAGAGAGAGAGGAGGGGGCTTTTATTGTGAAAGAATGCTGCAGATAGAAAGAGGAGGGGGCTTTTATTGTGAAGGGATGCTGCAGAGAGGAGGGGGCTTTTATTGTGGCGGGCGCTGCTGAGAGAGAGGAGGGGGCTTTTATTGTGGCGGGTAATGCCTGCACACACACTGAGCAGCTCCACCCTGATGACTGATGCTGCTGCTGTGTCTCCATCAAGGTGTAGTAGCAGTACAGGTATCTCAGGTAGAGTTACAGGTATCTCAGGTAGAGTTACAGGTATCTCCGGTAGCAGTACAGGTATCTCCGGTAGCAGTACAGGTATCTCCGGTAGCAGTACAGGTATCTCCGGTAGCAGTACAGGTATCTCCGGTAGCAGTACAGGTATCTCAGGTAGCAGTACAGGTATCTCCGGTAGCAGTACAGGTATCTCCGGTAGCAGTACAGGTATCTCAGGTAGCAGTACAGGTATCTCAGGTAGCAGTACAGGTATCTCCGGTAGCAGTACAGGTATCTCCGGTAGCAGTACAGGTATCTCAGGTAGCAGTACAGGTATCTCAGGTATCTCAGGTAGCAGTACAGGTATCTCAGGTAGAGTTACAGGTATCTCAGGTAGAGTTACAGGTATCTCAGGTAGAGTTACAGGTAGCAGTTCAGGTATCTCAGGTAGCAGTACAGGTAGCAGTACAGGTAGCAGTACAGGTATCTCAGGTATCTCAGGTAGCAGTACAGGTAGCAGTACAGGTATCTCAGGTATCTCAGGTAGCAGTACAGGTATCTCAGGTAGCAGTACAGGTATCTCAGGTAGCAGTACAGGTATCTCAGGTAGAGTTACAGGTATCTCAGGTAGAGTTACAGGTATCTCCGGTAGCAGTACAGGTAGCAGTACAGGTATCTCCGGTAGCAGTACAGGTATCTCAGGTAGCAGTACAGGTATCTCAGGTATCTCAGGTAGCAGTACAGGTATCTCAGGTATCTCAGGTAGCAGTACAGGTATCTCAGGTAGCAGTACAGGTATCTCAGGTATCTCAGGTAGAGTTACAGGTATCTCAGGTAGCAGTACAGGTATCTCAGGTATCTCAGGTAGAGTTACAGGTATCTCCGGTAGCAGTACAGGTATCTCAGGTAGCAGTACAGGTATCTCAGGTATCTCAGGTAGCAGTACAGGTATCTCAGGTATCTCAGGTAGCAGTACAGGTATCTCAGGTATCTCAGGTAGCAGTACAGGTATCTCAGGTATCTCAGGTAGAGTTACAGGTATCTCAGGTAGCAGTACAGGTATCTCCGGTAGCAGTACAGGTATCTCAGGTAGCAGTACAGGTATCTCAGGTATCTCAGGTAGCAGTACAGGTATCTCAGGTATCTCAGGTAGCAGTACAGGTAGCAGTACAGGTATCTCAGGTATCTCAGGTAGCAGTACAGGTAGCAGTACAGGTATCTCAGGTATCTCAGGTAGCAGTACAGGTAGCAGTACAGGTAGCAGTACAGGTATCTCAGGTAGCAGTACAGGTATCTCAGGTAGCAGTACAGGTATCTCAGGTATCTCAGGTAGCAGTACAGGTAGCAGTACAGGTAGCAGTACAGGTAGCAGTACAGGTATCTCAGGTATCTCAGGTAGCAGTACAGGTATCTCAGGTAGCAGTACAGGTAGCAGTACAGGTAGCAGTACAGGTATCTCAGGTAGCAGTACAGGTATCTCAGGTAGAGCTGCAGGTATCTCAGAACATGTGGTCCAGAGACAGAAATAAATCAGACGAGACGAACCGCTTGTTTTTCTCTTTTAGTTTATAGCTGTTTTTTTACTTAAAAAATAAAAAATAAAATCGATATTTAAAAAATAAATTAAAATGCAATTAAAATGTTAATAAAATAAGCAAAACATACATTTATAAAAAAACATGCGATATTACTTATATATTTTTTTTAATAAATGTATTGCTCAATTATTGACTATTAATGTTTTATTTACTCGTTTATTCTTATTTATAGTTTCACATTTATTTTGTTGTTATTCCCCATTTGTATTTACATATTTAAATGTGCCTCTCACGGCCTCCCCCCTCCCTATGAAGGGTTCTAAGTGAGGAGCAACATGTGGTCTGAGGAGGTCAATACGTGTCGCTCAGCGGCCATCTGCAGAGCGGATAATCCTGTGAGGAGATTACTGTCCGAGAGGAGAGGAGACGCTGCGAGGACGTATACCGAGAGGAGACATCTGAGCAGAAATCACTGCAGGAGACATCTGAGGAGACGCTGCAAGGACGTATACCTCCAGGAGACATCTGAGGAGACGCTGCAAGGACGTATACCTCCAGGAGACATCTGAGGAGACGCTGCGAGGACGTATACCTCCAGGAGACATCTGAGGAAACGCTGCGAGGACGTATACCTCCAGGAGACATCTGAGGAGACGCTGCAAGGACGTATACCTCCAGGAGACATCTGAGGAGACGCTGCGAGGACGTATACCGAGAGGAGACATCTGAGGAGAAATCACTGCAGGAGACATCTGAGGAGACGCTGCAAGGACGTATACCTCCAGGAGACATCTGAGGAGACGTTGTGGAGCGTTATTGGTTATGGAGACAAGTCTGAGGCTTTTATTGTGAAGGAATGAGAAGAAGTCTAAATAGGCAGATCCTGAGAAAGTGGATTTTCTGGGATATTTTTCAGCTTTTATTGTGAAAGATGGACATTTTGAATCTTTTCTGACGGACTAAACTCACCTTGGACTTTATTTGAGCTTTTATTGTGAAGATCAGAACAATATCCATGCTTTTATTGTGAAGGCTGCACAAATGTAGGGCTTTTTGTGACGGATGAAACAAGTTTGTGCTTTACTCTGAAGTTCTCCTTTTTGTGAATTATTTGGTGTTTTTATTGTGAAGAAAATATGTTTTGAAATTTCATTTCCTTTAATGTGAAGGATTCCAAACATCCATTTTGAGGAGGCTTTTATTGTGAAGGACTTACTAAACACTTCCCATTCATTGATTTTTTTTTAAAGAAGAAACTTTTGGACTTTTATTGTGGAAAAAGCAGCTTTAATGATTTAGAGTCAGACATTTTCTGGGGCTTATATTCTGAAATCACCACTTTATCTACTAGAAGCTTTTATTGCGAAGGACTACACACTACACTTTTATTGATATTTTCTTTTTTAAGAAGAAACGTTTGGACTTAACGATGAAATGTCGGACATTCTCTGGGGCTTTTATTCTGAAATCATCACTGTATCTACCTTGAGCCACCAATCAGCCAATCAGCATCCAGG